TTACATGATCATCTCCAAAGTTGAACCGTGGACGTGGTACATTCCCAAACGTTTCGCCGGTTTCGGTCAGTGACTGTCTCCATTCATAGCACCATACAACGGACAAGCAGACAATGGACTCCGGACTAGGTGCGTTCCTCTAATTCATCCTACCAATATGACCATGTTGCGAAAACAAGGTCAAACAACTTCTACACAACGAAAGGAGACTGCGACCACACAAATGGTCACACCATCTTGGTCTTCATACCTTCAATCAAGCTACAGCTCGTCGAAGAGACAAGTGAAATCAATCCCTTTACCAACTTTCTGTCGTGATCGTTGTGCTATCACTCCTCCTTCTACCCTAGTCCCTCTTTCCATTTCCTGCCCCCAAGTCTCGCCCTCGTCATATCACAACCTTTGACATGTTTATCTTCCCCAAGAGGTGTGCCCTTTTGGCGAATTTACCGTGGCGTCATCACACCTGATGTTTGCCTTGCTCCCCTCCCCTTCAAGTGGCCGATCCGACTCAGGCCTCCCGTCCGGATCTGCCTCTTGGGCAGATCCCAAGAGGCAGATCCGGTGGACAGATTTCACTCGGCTCCATCCAAAGCGTACTCTTACTCCAGTTGCTATTTCTCAGACCTTCAGTAGCACGTACGAATTCGCCTCATCTTCAGAGCGCCTAGGCTCTGATTCTCATGCCTGCAGATATTAGGCATTACCTTGACGCATCATCTCCAACATTAGGCCCGTGTACCCCGGGCAAACTGTGGACATTATCTCTGATCGCCTGTTGCATCTCAAGTGGATTTTTAGTCAATTTGGTCATAAGGCCCAATTTCTGTAACCCAGTACCTTGCCCTGGTTACGTAAGACATCAGGCCTCCGAGATTGTAGTCATTTATTTGAGCTGACTACACTCACTGAGAACGTCTTCGCTTCATTTCCGAAACTCCCTTATACTCTTCTTCCTTGCGAGCCCTTTTCCTTTGGTTTACGATAGACCCTTGATCCAAGCGTCTCCTTTTCGCTTGTCTTGTTGCATCCAGTTTTCTCTGAGTTTGATTAGACAATAGGCAAAGTTATCCCAAACTCTGCCTTCTTCCAATCTCCTGTTCATTAAATATCTTTTCCCCAAGGATGTTGCGTGGGTAGCTTTGTGAAAAGTGTTGTTTTTTTCCTTCATGATCACTTGAATACTCCATCTTCTTAATATTTTCCGCAGTCTTTGAGCTAGTTCGCTGGAAAGAAGAGATAGCCAATTCTGTGAGTCTTTCATCATCTTTACCTTTCTTTCATAATCCCCGTTTTGCCATCGGCTCTTCACGACCAGTGTGCTTCTTCATATTACTTCTCTCCGGTATCCGTTACCGAGGAATATCCTAGTCATTTTTTCCTATTCTTCATCCAAAAATTTCACGTCTGTTAATCTTAGACTTCTATGCCATAGTTCCCTAGTATTCCTATCTTCCTTTTATAGTTGTGACGAAAATCTAAATTGGGTATTATTCCGGCATATGAATTCTCTTGTAACAATTTCCTCTTGAGCGTCCCAGTAGACCGAGTGACCTCCACATCTAGGAAAGCCAAACACTCCTCTTCCTCTACAGCCATTGTGAACTTGATTCTTTTATCAATCCTGTTCATTAACTTCAGGTTATTCTCCGATTTTTATCCTCCATGTTACCATATTGCAAAGTAGTGATCCAGGTACTTCATAAGAACTCTTTGTTGCAGCGGTCACGCTATAAAATTATTTTTTAATTTATTCATGTATACAGTTGCCAATAGAGGTGAGAGAGGTGACCCCATAGGGAGTCCAAATGTATGTTCATAAATGTTGCCATTGAATGTGAAGTAGCTGGTACTCATTGTTAAGTTGATTAGTCCTATTAACGAATCGCTTCTAATTCTCTCTTCCTCTAGGATATCCTCTTCTCGATTGAAAATTTCTACCAGAGGCGTCAGCGCCTTTTCTCCAAAAACGTTTGTGGACATAGATTGTACATCAAAACTTACTAGTAACTCTGTTTCCTCCAGTGTTGTATTTTTTATCATATGAGAAAATGTAATTATTGCTTCACTGTATTCGAATATCTTTTATTTACCCTTTTGTGTTTCAGACATATGAAAATCGCTATTTTATTTTTTGCTCCATACTAGTTGTTAAACATCAGTCTTATTGGTGCCCCTTCTTTCTGTAACTTCGCTAACCCGTAGGCTGTTGGTGGTCGTGCATCCTTTTTTATTAGTGAATTTATTGTTCATCCATTAATCTACAAATGTCTATGCATATTTTTCTAGCCTTTTAAATAAGACGCATTTTAGTATACGATACATAGTATTTGTTTGCAGCATACATTTCAGTTTCTCGCTATATTGTTTTCCGACCATTACAACTGTCGCTCCTCCTTTGTCCGCCTGAAATATCAATTATTTATTCCTTTCCATGGTCCTGTTTATTCTTGTAAATCTGTTCATGTGCGTTCGTTCATGATATTCCGAAATTCCAGGGATTATTTCCATCTTCATATCCCGTTTTATCTCTTCAGGGAACTTGTCGGGATATTGATTACTTCCACCAGAATGTCTTCTAGAAAATGTTGATGAGTTGTAGGTTGGTGCTGAGATGGGCACGAATCACTCACAATGCCGACTACGATGCCGGCAAAACGTACATGAATGTCCCAAGTCCAGGGTTTGTCTCTGGAAATTATCCTGCATACTATGGACTCCGGACAAAGTGTGTTTCTCTAGGCCCTCCAGCCAATATGATCAAGTTGCGAAAACTAGGTCAAACAACTACCAGAGCATACTTTTTTATGAATTATCACTGAAAAATTAAGCTGTAATCTACATTTGAATTTAGTCATAATAACGGATTACGTGATCACGAAATTACGAGTGCCAAATTAAACAACACCAGAAAGTATATGCCATAGAAACCAAGTGCAAGGAAGCTTTACCCTCAAGTTCGTAAAATGTGGCATTCAGTCCCAAAATGATTTAACCAAAGGCTTATTAATCAGGTTTATTCTCAATTACGCTTTCTTTGAAAAAATTTATACTAAATTTAACTGAACAGTGTAGGTAGAAATAGTATTTTTGACAGATCCTTGTGAACAAACGACTGGATTAGAGATTCAGAAGGCCCAGACAATGGCTAAAACTGATCCACGTTGAATAGGTAAGGAAAATATGATTAGGAGATAATGGACTCTAAGGAGGGTCCGTAAAGAAATCAATCGATATTTTATTAAAGCAAAGTACAGTTTTGAAATAGTAAAGTAGAATTGCAAACAAAGGAAGATTATGGCAAGAAAATATGCTAAAGTCAGTTAATAATTGCAGATAATATAGTTGCTAAACAAGTGTAGAAAACAATCCTATGTTTGAAAACTAAACCATACGCAAAGAGAAAACATTGAAAGTGTTTACGGTTATTAGATAATAAATCATTCAAAAAGATTATTTTCATTGAATAGCATAGCATCTCAGCCCACATGAACTCAACTCATGCA